AGGCCCAATCATGATGGCTGCTTTTCTTTGATGGCGGCAACAGCAAAAACAAAAGAAATGTCAAAATGTTTTGAAATTGCATATTTACGTGATATCAGAGATTCAGAATCCTAAGTAAATTTAATACTATAATGTACTTTGGGTTCTGAAATAATGTAAGAAAAAACTATAGTATACATTTTCTATGTAATGTAATAAGTTATAAAGTGAAAAACAAAATGAAATAGGAAGGATTTTGTCATTATGTTCCACGTGGGGTGGCTCGACCTCTGTTGTACTATCATGTGCTGAATCTAAAGAGCATTCATTATGATTAGTCTCCTAAATCTTAAATTCTGAACATATTCACTTTTCCTAATTTTAAAATTCTTTATTACTATCTTGAAAATATAATGCTGTAAGAAAGAAAGAAAAGTGTCCGTACAGATCAAGATTTGAAGGGAAAAAAAAAGATAAGAAACATTCTAATAAGAGTGACTGAAACCATTTGGGATTTCTGAATTTCTTCGTTTCTGCTTATCTCTAGATTCCTCTTTTGGAAGATGTCTCAGTTTCACTCCTTTGGAACTTGCATTTTCCTTTTTTGTTTTTAACATTTTCTGTTTGCATACATTATTGTGCGAATATGTGTAAATCAGTAAATGATACATATCCACATACTATAAGGTAGGACTGCCTGATTTAGTTTTCGTTTTCTAGATTTTTTTAACCTATATACACACATTTATCAAGTACTAAACCGAATCTAAACCAACATAAATATGCAAATGGAACCTAAACTTCTATATCCAAAAATTCGATACAGAACTAGAACTAAATCAAGAACCGAATTTGTATTCGAACATTTCGAAATATAAATTTATATATAGAAAATATAAATTATATAACTATTTTTAGATACTTCAAATATTTTCGGATAATTTGGATAGTTTTGGGGACTAATACAATTTGTGTTTGTATAAATAAGTGATTAATCACAAATGTAAACGTGTAAAACCTAATTTTTTCATGTATTCTGGGACAATGCGGTGCCAGTGTTGCACCGTAATCACATCTAACAGAGAAACCAGTGATGATGGTTACTCTGAGTCACTGACGTCACTTTTCAAGGACAAGCGTCATCTTTGACCAAATCTAACTTTGATTTTACATATATTTTTTTTATTGGCCTCAAAACATTTACTCAGTTTATTTCCCTAGTTTTCTAGTCTCACATTCGATTTATCTATTTGAGGTACAATAAAATATATACTGTCGACTTTAAATTCTTAACATGAAATTTATATTTTGTGGGAAATATTTTATCAAACTACCAAACGGTCGGTAAAACTACCTTTATTTAAATGATATCATTTTCGATGAAATTTGACATTCAAGTTATATAAAAGCCAACAAGATGTTTATAATATAAACCCTTTATTCTTAATAACCAACTCATATTGGTTTCAAAACTGCAAATCAAGTGAATCAAACGAAAACATATATGTAGTGAATGCAAAATATATTAAACAAGCATAATAAATGGTATAGGACAACATGAAAAAATATATACTCCCTTGGTCTTTTATAAGTGGTGTTTTAAGTTTCTAGTTTTGTTCTTAAATAGATGATGTTTTCAATTTTCAATGCAAAATTAATTATTTTTTTATTGGTTTTAACGATTTATATTCTGTAGATTGTTTTTTTATTGGTTGATTAGATAATAAATGATGTTTTAGTTTAGAAATAAACAAAATTAAATGATTTCTTAATCTATGTGTATTCTCCTAAAACATCATTTAGAAAAGAAGGGAGGAAGTATAAAGAAATAAATGTTTATTTTGTTGTAAATTAACAAAATAAATAACTAAATCATACCGCCATTTTTTTTCTTGTCACAATTCATTACCATAATAGCTATAGACAACAATTCAAGATTTAGAGAACACATCCATTTAAAGGAAAATTTTTAAGTTGGATTTTAAGATTCATAGAACACTTACTCTGAATACAATCCATAAAAGCATATGAATATGCCTTTTCCCATCCCTATAAAGTCGTTATACTCAATAATCCACATCAATCAATTCATATTTGACGACAGATTAATGGGTAATTATGTCTTAAGACAACTACACAACAGCTTAATTTCCGAATTGAATATTCATAACTACAATTAAGAAAATTCAGTCTTACACAATACACGCCAACATAAATTTGCTAATGCAAATATGACATCAACATTCATATTAAACCTATTATGAAGCACTCAACTTATTTTAGTTATTTTACTTGAAGTTTTTTTTTTTAAATTCATATTCCTATTTTCTTTAACCACCTAACTTGCTCCAAAAGAAACCACCACCTCTCTTTTTTTCATAATGGCATATTTACAAAATATACGCATATCAGAACATGTGGTTCGAAGCATATGAAGTATAACGCAAGATGTCGGTATATTCTATGCTTGATAACACAAAGTTAAGAGAAATAATACAATCATATTTAATTTTTAGGTTACAAAATATTCTATGCTTGATAAAACAATGTTTTATGGATACCAAAAAAGTAAAAAGAATACACAATAATACTCCTATTGTGCAATGCAAGTGTCGGTATACCAAACCCACTACTACTCCGAGTTATACAACCGCTCCATTATCAATTATAATCTACACTTTGGCATACGTATAACCGACTCAAACGTTTTGCTTTTTTGTTAAATAACAAATTCACACACACACACACACATCTACTTTAATAAACGAATCTTTAATTTGATAATATGACCGGATTTTATGAATGGAATCCCTTATTAATATCGGAACGTGTATCTAGTGTTGAAATTTTGAAAGGCTCTTAAAGAGAAATAAATTGCAACGGCCAAAAGAATGCATAAATCTTTGTCGCCAAGTGTTACTATTTTCTGATTATTATTGCATAAAGAATTACGATTTTTATCATCATGCATGTTAGAAAACTAGTGTGGGTGGCTTCTTAGTCTGTGAGACTAGGCTTCGTAATGGAAGTTGTCATGTGGTTTGGTGGGTAGTGTCGCGAATGAAAGGAGGAAAGCAGAATCGTGTGAGCGGTTTGCGGGTCTCAGTATGTCTGTCGTCGACTAGCTTCTTTTGCCGAATCGAAAATGAGTTTAATTCCGATTACTGGAGGTTTTTAGCAAATCGCGATATGGTTATGACAACAGTATAAGTGGACAACTCTTAGTCGGCCTTCTTTAATCTATTTGCTAGAATATATCGGTATAAATCGTTCCAAAAAAATTTGTTTCGGATTGAGATAATATATTATATTAAAAAATGTTAGAGAACTCATATACTAGTAGTTATTTTTTTGGAATTTGGATAGTCAAAAGTGAAAACTTTTTGAAAAAATAAGCTTAACTTACAACAAAAATTAACAGTAAAATCTGAAACTTTAAATTTAAGTTAAAATTTAGATGCAATGTTGGGATCCAAAGTGTACTTTTATAAATTTGGGATAATGTACACGTATGTAAGTAAATGTGTAAGCGTAAATTTGGGTATATACGAAAGTGTTTGTAAAAGAGAGAATAAAAAAGAAAACAATGAAGCCAGAAGAAGAAAGAAATCTCGTGCGAAAGAAGCCAATAAGAGATGAGTGCAAATTACGAGGTCACTTATTACATTTTGATGTGATTATTCATTTCCCTATCATACCCAAATCTATCTCACTAGCTTCTATTTTATAACTTTCTTTATATTTTTTCTAGCCATATTTTAACATTATTTTTACCTTTAAAATCAATTTAATTATATGATTCTCAGTGGCTGACTTTCTGTTTACGAGTTAGATATATTGATTTTGAAACGTTTATAAACTTAGATTTAGTGTTAGTAAATGTATCTCGTACAAGTAATGTTAGAACTAATCTCGTTACGTACATGACCCGGTATACAAAGAAAACATTATTATATGTACTTGTAGTTTGTTTATTTACTAGTTAGACACTTATTAAACCCGTGCAAGTAATGTTAAAACTAATCGGGCCATTTTACGTACTAGTTAGATGCATTGATACAATGAATTTGTTTATATGATTTCACATACTACTCCATAAAATGCATTTATAACTTCAAGAAACAATTTATTGGTAAAATGTATTTGCATTATTTTCACTTACAAGAAATAAAGAAAAGTTTCATGATAAAACATAAACTGATATTATAAATGTTTTTTATTTTCACATGTTATTTTAGTTTCTCTTTAGATGTTTTTTTAAAAGCAGAACCACAATTTAGTATAGATGTTAAAGGAGCGTAGACGTCACTTCCAATAAACCGCGAGTGGGCTTTAAGGATGTTGTAAGCTCCAAAGTACAAAGAAAAATCGAACAGTACCGAAAGCGAAGTAAGCAGATTTTTTTTTAAGTTTAATTATTTACAATATATTACAATTATTTTCTTAAATTTTTATTTTGATTCAACGATAAAGCGAAAAATTGGAAAAAAAAAAAAGCAAGAATAAAAAACATGTCTCGTGAAGCAGCAGTTGAACAAGAACTGTTATTTTTCGCATAACATTTAATATATTACCATTTCCGAAATTTTCTTATTTTTTTTTTTTTTTTTTTGAGGTTTATACCCAAAAACAGTAAAGTAGCATAAAAAAAATTAATCAGGCGAGATTTTTATTTTATTTTTTAAGTTTGTTAAAGTCAATTCTGTTATTTATTTTCTTTAACTTTGTTATAAATTTATTAGTCTATAATTGTAGAATAATTAATTATATAATCTTTCTTTTTCTTTGTCAATTAAACTAAAAATGACTTTTATTTATTTATAATAATTATAAAAATGTTAAATATTCGGTCTGGTTCTCCATCTTCACTCCTCTTCTTCTGTGAACCTTCTCTCTTCTCTCTCTTCACTGAGAAAAACAAGTTTTCTCTCTCTAGGCACTCACATTCATTCTTTGCTTGAACCTTTTTAATTCACGAGATCCCCAATCTCTCTCTCTTTCTCTTTCGATGCCTTTTCACAGAGTATCTAATCCTCCTCCTCCATTCATCTTCTCCATTCTTCTCCGTCGTCTCCATTAGATAACGACCATTTGCTCGCCGGACTCCATTTTAGGGTTTTCTTCGATTCTCACAAATTTCATTCCTTTCTCTCGCCGGAATACTCAAAATGCCCAAGTCAGTTAAACCCATCTCTGAATCTGACAAACTCTCCGATCATCTCCGTGATTCATCACTAACCTCCGAGATCAACAAACCTGATTTCCGTGAACTAGATCTTGGTTCACCGGTTTCTCCGCTTCGTTCTCAGCCACGTGGAGTCACTACAACCACTAGTAGTAGCAGTTCTAGCTCTTCCGGATCTCTTACGGGTCGGGTTAAACATGCTCCGGTCATCGGAAGATCTAATTCTCTCCGTAGTCAATCTGGTTCATCTAGTGGGAATAATAATCTAAGACCGAGATCGGACTCAGCTACTTCTTCTTCTTCACATTCACAACCACTTATCTCCTCCTCCTCTGCTACTTCTCCAGCTCCGACGTCTCCGGCGAATGTACTTCCCACCGGAAACATTTGTCCTTCAGGGAAGATCCAAATCACAGGAATGACACAAACCCGTTCAAGAAGCGATGTTCTTGGATCTGGTACTGGAACTTATGGACATGGAAGTATAATGCGAGGAGGTGGAGGAACTAGTATATCTCCGGCGAAACCTACCACGACAGGAGGAGGAGGATCTCCGCCGGTAATTGTCGGTAGCTCTAGCAGAAGTAGTACTGTTGTTGCGGGAGACACTCCTTTATGGAAGAAAGCAGTTTTAGGTTCGGATTCAGAGGAAGTGAAGAGACTAGGAAATGAAATGTATAGGAAAGGTTTGTTTAATGAGGCTTTGAAGTTGTATGATAGGGCTATAGCTTTATCACCGACAAACGCTGCTTATCGGAGTAATCGAGCTGCCGCATTGACCGGTTTGGCTCGAATTGGTGAAGCTGTTATGGAATGTGAAGAAGCTGTGAGATCGGATCCTAACTATGGAAGAGCTCATCACCGTTTGGCCTTATTGCTTATTAGGTATAGTGTTTAGTTTCTTGATACATTGATGGAGATAAAGCTGTTACTTTTATGGTTTTTGATTATGTTGGTGATATGTTTCTGAGACTTCAATGTGTCTGGTCTTAATTACTTTGGTGGCATTGCAGATTAGGTCAAGTTAATAGTGCAAGGAAGCATCTTTGTTTTCTTGGGAGACCATCAGATCCCATGGAGTTGCAGAAGCTTGAAGCAGTGGAGAAACATTTGATTAAATGTGTAGATGCGCGAAGAGTCAGTGATTGGAAAACAGTTTTGACGGAAGTAGATGCTGCTATTGTTTCTGGAGCCGATTTTTCTCCTCAGGTAAGAATCAAATTATGTGGGATTAGATGTTTCCTTGTGAAGAAGAATCATAACTTGATGTCTTTTAACTATTGTGTCTTATATATATCTACAGCTATTTATGTGTAAAGTAGAAGCATTCTTGAAACTTCACCGGCTAGATGATGCTCAATCAAAGCTATTAGAAGTTCCTAAAGTAGAGCCGTTCCCTGTATCTTGTTCGCAGACTCGGTTTTCTGGTATGGCTTGTGAAGCTTATACATATTTTGTCAAGGCGCAGATCGAGATGGCGTTAGGAAGGTGAGATAAGAGAAACCTTTTCATATGCTTATATATGTTAATTATAACTATTGAATGTCATCAGTTTTAAAAAAGGGTTAAAGAGCAGATGATGAATTTTTGCAGGTTTGAAAATGCAGTTATGGCTGCTGAGAAAGCTAGCCAAATCGATCCACGATGCAACGAAGTTGCTATGTTACATAATACTGTTACATTGGTTGCTAGGGCTCGTGCTCGTGGTAACGATCTTTATAAATCAGAAAGATACACTGAAGCAAGTTCAGCTTATGCAGAAGGCCTTAGGCTTGATCCTTGCAACGCTATTCTATATTGTAACCGGGCAGCTTGTTGGTTTAAACTTGGAATGTGGGAACGCTCTATTGAAGATTGTAACCAAGCGCTGCGTTATCAACCAAGTTACACAAAGCCACTTCTTCGGAGGGCTGCCTCAAATAGCAAGGTACATATAAAACCGCTCTTTCGACTTGGTTTTGCTTGTAATTTGTTCTACTCTGATCCTCGAGCTTTCTGTCCAACTGTAGATGGAAAGATGGGGAGCCGCAGTGAGTGATTATGAGGCCTTGATAAGAGAACTACCTCATGACAAGGAAGTTGCTGAATCTTTATTCCATGCTCAAGTTGCATTGAAGAAATCTCGTGGAGAAGAAGTTTTAAATATGGAATTTGGTGGTGAAGTTGAGGAAGTTTATAGTCGTGAACAGTTTAAATCTGCCATGAATTTACCAGGTAAAATATAACTTCTCTGCTTCTTACTTTAAAACTTTTTCTTGATTTGGACCTCTGATCTATAATTTATGAAATTTGGGATGTGATATTCAATCAAACACAGGAGTTTCGGTTATCCATTTCTCGACAGCTTCTGATCATCAATGCAAGCAAATATCTCCATTTGTGGACTCGCTATGTACTCGGTATCCATCTATACACTTCCTCAAGGTAAAAGTTACATAAAATGTTTTCTCATGGTAGTGACTCAAAACGTTTTATATCTCTGGGAAGAGATTGAGTCTAAATTCTACCTTTTTGGTCAGGTGGATATCGATAAATGTCCTTCAATAGGTAATGCTGAGAATGTGAGGGTTGTACCGACAGTGAAGATATACAAGAACGGTAGTCGGGTTAAGGAGATTGTCTGTCCAAGCAAAGAAGTGTTGGAGTACTCGGTGAGACACTATAGCGGTTAATAACAAAAACACTAGCGCTTCTTCTTCACTCTTCTGCAACCTCCCCATTACCCATAAGAAATTTCTTCAATAATCCCACTTTAACTTCTTAAGATGCTTCATTACAAGGGAACCCATTAGTGTAGAGTTTCAGGTCTTTATGATTTGTTCATTCATTCACCTCTTCATTGCCCTGTGATCTCTGTCTCTGTATGTTCTGTTCTGTCTTCTTCCCTCCATTCATTTTTCTCTGCAGATTGAGATTGCATTGGCTCCTTCTTCTTCTTTTAGCTTCACTTGTTGTTAGGTATTGAGAGATGTTACTAGTTGGAGATTACTCTGTGTACATAAGAGAAGTTCGGATGTGAGTGAAGAAGAAGGGGCTTTACTAAAAGGGCAAAAGAGGAAGATTTGGATTCTTCTTCATTTTCAATTTTACTTTTAGGGCTTAGTGAAACCAAGAAGATAGTGAACATTTTCTACTCTTTTGTTGTCATTTCAATTCTACTCTTTTTTTCAACATTTTCATTAATAAAAAGTTATATATTTTATCTTCATTTTTTCTGCTAAGATTATGCTTTTATTTGAATACATAATTCCATCTAAAATACTTTGGAAATAGATGAATCTACTGAAATTTTTTACCTATTTTTAAAAAAAGATTTATGTTTGTAAAAGGTAAATGTAAATGTAAATCTATTATTAAAATTACATTTCAGCCTCAGAAAAGGGATTAAGGTGATTGATTTTGGATTTAAATACTTTAGTCGTTGACATATACAAAAAGGGAGATACGGATTTACTACAGATTGATTTGGTTTGTAATAAAAGCGACGGTTGTTAATAATGCGTTGTTCTTTTGTGTTAATTGCCTCTCTTCAAGGGATTAAAAAAATGAAAAAGAGAATCCAAATATGCGCATTACAAGTTCTTTTCCTTTGTTTAATTAATTTTTAAAAATTATAAATACCTTTAAAAAAGGAAAATAATAATAACATAACGCCCAAAATTAATAATAATTACTTACTAGTAGTATAAAATAAGAAAAAAGGTTTGGAAGGTTATGAACTTTATGGTCGTTAGCCGGTGCTATTCTACGCCGGCTGAAGTCGGTGCCCTTAATTCGTGGTTGTTTGACACGTAGTTATCTCTTTTTATATAAAAATATATTTTGTGGATAATATATGTTTGGTCGTCTTCAACTTTTAGCTTATTTGAGTAAATATTATTATATTGGGATATTGTAGGGAACCAGCTGACCCTGGAAGTTCTTAGATTCTTTAATGAAGGAGTTTTTGATAAGGAATGGAACTTTACACAAATCTGTCTTATTCCCAAAAAGACAGATTCGAGTGTCATGGCTGATTTGAGGCCGATTAGTCTTTGTTCTGTGATGTATAAGGTGATCTCCAAGATCTTGGTTTCAAGATTAAAGCCTATTCTTGCTGATCTTGTCTCTCCCACTCAATCAGCCTTTGTGGAGGATCGCCTTATTTCTGACAATATCCTTATAGCTCATGAAGTTGTACATGCCCTCAGAACTCATGGTTCCATGTCGAAAGAGTATATGGCAATTAAAACAGACCTCTCCAAAGCTTTTGATCGTGTTGAATGGAGCTACCTGCGTCACCTTCTGCTTGCCTTAGGGTTTGATTTGAGATGGGTTGATTTGATCATGACTTGTGTGACATCAGTGACTTACACGGTTCTGGTTAATGGCAGCCCGCATGGATTGGTAGTGCCTCAGAGAGGATTAAGACAGGGAGATCCTCTCTCTCCATTTCTGTTTGTCTTATGTACTGAAGGTCTAACTCACCTCTTCAACAAGGCTGAGTTGCAAGGTTCTATTAATGGTATGAGGTTTTCTCCGGAGGGACCTGCAATCAATCATCTACTTTTTGCTGATGACAGCTTGTTTGTGTGTAAAGCTGATGAGGAGCAAAGTGGTGCCCTGCAAAACATTTTGGCTGTTTATGGGACTGCTACTGGCCAGACTATCAATTATGAAAAATCTTCAATTACTTTTGGTGAAAAAGTAGAGGAGAATATTCGGGCCTTGGTGAAATACAAAGTGGGTATGGAAAAAGAAGGTGGTGCTGGTACTTACTTGGGACTGCCAGAATGTTTTAGTGGCTCCAAAAAGGATATGTTGGAGTATATCCATGAGAAGCTTAAGGACAGACTCTCAGGCTGGTTTGCTAAGACTCTCTCTCAAGGAGGAAAAGAGATCCTTTTGAAGACTGTTGCAATGGCGATGCCTGTTTATGCCATGTCATGCTTTAAATTATCTAAAGCCACATGCGAGTCTTTGTCTAGTGCTATGTCCTCTTTTTGGTGGAGCACAATGGAGAATCATAGAAAGATCAGCTGGGTAGCTTGGGAGAAACTCTGTTTGCCAAAATCGTTGGGAGGGCTGGGCTTCAAAGATATAGAGCTAAACAGGCTTGGCGGCTCTTATTTGCTCCAGATTGTCTCTTATCTCTTTTTCTAAAGAGCAGGTACTTCTCTGACTCCCCTTTTCTTGAGTCTGCTTTGGGTGCTCGTCCTTCTTTTGGCTGGAGAAGTATTTTGCATGGTCGGGACCTTCTTGAAAAAGGCTTAATTCAAAGGGTTGGCGATGGTCATTCACTTCTGGTTTGGACTACCTTATGGTTGGAGGATGGCAGCCGTATGAGAGCTCATTTCATGAAGAACATTCTTGTGGATTTGGAATTATCTGTGGGGGAACTAATTAATTTGGAGACTAGAGACTGGGATATATCAAGCCTTAATGATCATTTTTTCCCAGGAGATGTTGAGATCATTAAGAAGACCAAACCTGTTATCTCTTCCCCTGACTTCAAATGCTGGAAGCACAACAAGAGTGGTGTCTATAGTGTTAAATATGGTTATTGGTTGGCGTCCCAAGATCAAAATGAAGAGGCTATCAGGATGGTCTCCATGATTCCCTCCTTGAATGGAATCAAAGAACAGATCTGGAAGTTGCTTGCTCCATCAAAAATCAAGATTTTCATTTGGAAAGCAATTAGCGGTGCTATTCCTGTAGCTGAAAGGCTGAGCACTAGATTTATGGTCGTGGATCAGCGCTGCCATATTTGTGGCCTAGAAGGAGAATCAATCAATCACATTCTCTTCACTTGTTCTTTGTCAAGACAGATTTGGGCTCTTTCGGGTCTCCCTCTCCCTGATGGTGGTTTTGACCCAAGGTCCATTTATCAGAATCTTTTCCATGTGATTTTGATGTGCAAGAATTCTAAGGTCCCTGTTGAGGTAAGAAGATCTCCTCCCTGGATTCTTTGGTCGTTGTGGAAGAACAGAAACAGCCTCTTCTTTGAAGGTTTGGTTTCCACACCTAAAGACATCCTTTTAAGGTTCAAGGAAGATTCTGCGGAGTGGTTTCAAGCTCAGGTTTTAGAGTCTCAAGAGACGGTGCTCTCCAACATCCAAACTCAGGGTTACATCCACAAATGGAGGCCTCCTCCTAAGCCATGGTTAAAATGCAATGTGGCTTCTTCTTGGAATAAGGAGAAAAAGATTTGTGGAGTGGCCTGGGTCTTGCGTAATTCTGAGGGCATTGTTCTTCTTCATTGTAGGGCTGCTCTTCCTTCTATTTCCTCGAAGGGTGAAGCTGAACTTCAAGGTTGTATTTGGGCTATTAAAGACATGCAAAATCTTCATATCCATAAGGTGATTTTTGCCTTTGAGCCTAATGAATTGGCAGGTGCTGTCCTCCGTCCTGCTGCCTGGCCTAGTTTCAAATCACAATCTGAGTGCCTCCTTCTAGCCTTGTCCTATTTACCGGCTTGGAGAGTTGTTCATGAAGATAGGAAGTGTAATCTTGGGGCAGCATTGATTGTTAGGAGTGTCACTAGAGAGGAACGGTTCCAATCATATGTAGCAAGTGGCTACCCTTTTTGGCTTCAGAAGGTGTTCAATTATGATATATGCATTACTTCGGTGTAATGAGTTCTGTTGCTTGATTGTAATCGTTCCCTTTTTGTATGTGACCTTTTGTTGATGAATATATAGAATCATTCAGACGAAAAAAAAAAAAAGAGTAAATATTATTATTATATCACAGAAAAGCCAATTCACTGATAAAATAATAAAATTTCTCTTTTTTTTTTCTTTTGCTCATTAGTGGAGGCGCGTGACTAACACTCACCGACTAACAACACTAGTGTGAACTTTTTGACCATATAGAGTGAAATTAAATTAAAAGACGTAATTATTAAGCATAAAGTACGTTGGTGAAAAAACTGGTACACCGTACATGTACGCTATAAATTCTCACAATAAATACAGAGCCGTTGGGACGTTACTCAAACGAAAATGCAAGCCGTGTCTACATAAGAGACTCGCACACCGTGTCGTTTTCTCTCCACCATTTTCCTGCTTCAACGGCCTCTTTTCGCAAACATGTCTGCCGTTTTGCGGGACCACAAACATACTCAGACGACATGTGTGTGTACACAATGATTAGGGTGGGAACAAACCAGATCGAAGTGTTTAAAGCAACTAAGTGAGTGCCGTTTTGTTTTGGATAAGAAAAGTAACAAGAAAAGATTCTCTTGTTCTGTTTTATTACACTTAAGAAAAAAACAGAGCATGTGTTCATAATCTCCAAGGATTCGTACACGAAAATCAACATTTTGACGGTGGATACATAAATAAACCAGAATCCAACCTTATTTTCCAAATCCGAAGTTAAAAAAGAAAGGAGAGACTCAAAGTTTGTTTAATCATCTCTTTGTAACTTAACCGGTGTTTTGTAGACCAGCAGCAATACCCTTCATGGTCAAGATGAGTGTATCTTCAAGTCCAGGCGCGTATTCGCTCGTCGGGTTAAGCTCGATGAGTTCTTGCGCTGGTTTGCTCGATTCCGCTATCTCCTTAGAGATGTGAGGTCGGAGAGTCACATGGTAACTTGGATCACGGATTCTCTTCAATGTGTAAGCTTGACAGACATTGAGAGTCGTAATGTAAGAATCACGAAGTCTCAGTCTCTGTTTCAAGTAAGGATCTCCTTCAAGAAGATCTTTGTGTCCAGCGGTCTGCAAACAGCCAAGCGATTCAGAAAAAATTCCTAAAATGAATAAGAAAGAAGTCAAGAGGGCTCTGTTTTTTACCTGCAGGATAAGTTTCTTGGTTTCTTCGAAATTAGCCCTGAGTTTCTCACCAAAAGGCCAGAGTTCCTCTGAAACAAGAAGCTTATCGTACAAAGCAGCAATCCCGGGATCTCCTTTAGCGAACACCATTTCAATGAGATCAATGGTGACTCTAAAGAAAGGCCAGTGTTGGTACATATCTTGGAGCATATGGAGGTTCTTGACGTCTTTTTCGATCACGTGTCTAATCGCTGATCCAAATCCAAGCCATACAGGGAGATGGAATCTTGTTTGAGTCCAAGCGAAGATCCATGGAATAGCACGGAGAGATTCAATGCCACCACTTGGTTTACGCTTCGAAGGTCTGCTTCCAATGTTCATACGACCATACTCAAGTTCCGGTGTAGCCTGCAACAGATTTTAAGATTCTGTGAGTTTAAAGAATCTGTGGGGAGATTTAAAGATTCCGAGTGAATGTAATACTTACAAGGCGGAAGTACTCGACAAACCGAGGTTCTTGGAACACAACAGAACGATACTCCTCGGTTGCAACGACTGCCATTTCATCAAGCAAAGCGCGCCATTCCGGTTTAGGCGAAATCGGAGGACGCATACCGTGCTCGAGTGTAGCAGCAGTGAAACGCTGAAGTGTTCTAAAGCATAAATGCTCTTCACCAAACGATTGCTCGATGACTTCACCTTGAACCGTGACACGGAGCGAACCGTTAATAGTATCCGGAGGCTGAGATAATATAGCAAGATGGGTCGGTCCGCCTCCTCTTCCAACCGTGCCACCACGACCGTGAAACATTGTTAGCTTCACACCGTACTCTTTAGCAACCTTCACAAGCTCTTCTTGAGCTTTGTATAACTGCCAAGCAGCGGATAACCGTCCTGCGTCTTTCCCTGAATCCGAATAACCAATCATAACCTCTTGCTTACCGTTAATACGGTTCTTGTACCAATCAACAGAAAAGAGCCTAGCAACTGCAGCAGGAGCTGCTTCCAGATCCGCTAGCTTCTCAAAGAGCGGAACAACTCTCAAAGGCTGTTTCACACGGCATTCACGCTGTAAAAGCTCAACAGCTAATACATCAGAAGGTGCAGTTGCCATAGAGATAATGTAAGCACCAAAGCTGTCTGCTGGTAGCTCTGCTATGACATGAAACGTGTCCAGAACATCAGCTATTTCTTCGGTTTTAGGAAGATCAGAACCGAAAAGCGGACGTTTGCCACTTAGCTCAGATAAAAGCCATTCTTGACGGCGTTCTTCAGACCATTCTCTGTAGGATCCGATATCTAAATGTGTGGTGATAGCATCCAATACATCGGTGTGGCGGTCAGATTCTTGCCTTATGTCAAGTCTCACAAGAGAGAGCCCAAAGGTTGAGACTTGCCTCAAAAAATCAAGAAGGCTTCCATCTGCTATTGGACGGTCACCACATGAACACAGAGATCGGTAACAGAGCTCAAGAGGTTCCAAGAACTACACAAATAGCACGAGAGAGCAGTTTAGTACCAAATCATAACCGGGAGTTAAAGGATTCTAATTGCAATGATACCTGTTCCAAGTTAATGAAAGTAGCCTCTACAGGGACATCAGAGTGTCCATTGCTGAGCAATTGATGAGCGCGTTCACGTGTGTGATAAAGCTTGTCCCTTACATCACCAAGAATCACACGGTATGGCTCGGTTGTAGGAATTGACTTCCAGAACTCTGCAATCAAGACAATGAATGATAGGTTCCAAATTAAATTGGTTTCAGTCACAAAGCTTAAACATAAACACTATGCTCCAAATCGGTTCCTTTTCTTACCTATGTAATGTTTTGCAGCATCTTTCCTCGAATTTGCGTGAAGTTCATCAGCTCGCGCACGCAGCTCGTCATTGCAACGCCACATAGACATCTATGATAGAAGCAGTTATAATGGAATGAGGTGATACATACATAAAAGAAAATGAGGAGACTAAACTCACAAAAAATCGAGATCAAACCTCAAACATAAGATCTTCGATTTGGTTAAAGTACATAGTAGCAGCCATCATTCTAGCTAACAAGCAAACATCTCTGGTGACTTCAGGTGTAACCCTTGGATTACCTGCAAACAAATATATATTGCGAGTTTGTGTCATGAGTAAAGCCAATGAGAGAGGGAGCTAAATAAGATAGCTATAAGAGAGGGGCTTGTAGAAATGTACCATCACGATCACCACCCATCCAAGAAGAGAATTGAATCAATGGAGCATTATATGGAACACGTTCTTCAATCCCTATGTTTTTCAAAGCCGTGTCTACACGGCGAAGAAACTTAGGAACACCTTTCCAGATAGTTTCATGGAAATAACTCATTCCTGCTCTCATCTCATCTTGAGGAGTTGGTGGTGTTCTTTTGATTTCATCTGTTCGGAATGCCGCTTGAATCTAAGAAAAGTCCAAGTTTTTTTTCCATTAGTTTCCAAAATCATGTCACTAATAAGAATCCAATAAGCTTTTACCTCTCTCTGAAGAGCCTCATCGAGCTCTTGCTTGTCATCAGGAGTAATATCCTTAGCATAAAGTTGAGCCAGACAGTCTCTTATCCTGAAAAAAACGCACAAAGAAGATAACATTAACAGAAACATCAATCCAAACTCCAAAGAAATCCCGATTTCGTCTAAAATAAACTAACCTCCCATGTTTCTGAAGCAATGATCTTCTCACAGATTGAGTAGGATGAGCAGTCAAAACCAAATCCACAGTCTGATTCTTGAGAGCATCAAAGATCTCTTCAGGAGACTTATTCAGATCTCCAACAAGCTTCTTGAAAGTTTCTTCAAGATCAGATTCAGTAGTAGCAGAGCTCTCATCAACGAAATCACCTTTCTTCAGCTTCTTGATCCTACGGCGATAAGCAATCTGCACTTCCTCAGCCAAATTGGCTAAGTTAAGCATGTGAGAGAAAGCTTTGGCGATAACAATGGAGTCTCCTGGATCTAAACTCGTTAGCACATTCCCTAGCTCCTCTAGCTTCTTAGGTTCATGCTTCCCTTCATATTCTGCAGAATGCTCATAAAGCTCTTGAACCTATATACAACAACAACACACAATAAGATCACATGAAACTACAAGTCTTTGAACTAATAAAAAAGTTCAAATCTTTCAGCGTTTAAAACCCTAACTAATCTAATCCATGATCGAATCAAAAAAAAGTTGAAACCTTTATTCAAAACTCAAAACAGAGCAAGTAGTTTCAGGATCTAATAGCAATAGGGTCAAATCCAAAATCGAGAAAACGTACAGTTTCACGGAGATCTTCACCGTGCAAATCCTGGAGAATATCGAGAAACCGATCTAGAAGCAAAGCATCATACTCAACAAGCTTGTCGTCTTCGCTAACTTTACCAGGAACCAGTTGACGAAGATGAACATCAATTGATGCCATCTTCTCTAACTTCCGATTCGCCATTTTTTCACCGACTTAGTTCTTCTTCCCTCTGAAGTAAGAACAATCAAATATATCAAATCCAAAAAATCAAAAGATCTTAAGACAATTTTGACTGAGATTTCCGCAATGAAATCGGAGACAGAAGTAAAAAAAAAAAGTTGGAACTTTGAGTCAACAGAGACAGACCCAGATGAGAAAAATCTGCTGATTGTTAGTAAATCTAATACTAAAGTGAATGTTGTTGAGAAGCTAACCAGTTTAGAAGAAAGAAAGCTGTGTCCTTTGAAGTCAGATTCAGATTTCAGAGATATGTAACCAATATAAGATACTTTGCTTACGTATATATAGAGAGTGAGTGATCAAGATTCCTATATGTGATGCTCGCTTATAGTTGAAATTTTTAACCTTTTTTAAATATTATTTTTCCTCATTTTCTATATATTTCTTATTGCATTAAAGTAGTTTTTATTTATTTATAAAAATAGAATTTTATTCAATCAGTGATAGTCAAAAGTGAGTATTATGATTCCTATCCATTTTTCTATTTCTAAGATGCTTGCTTATAGTTGAATTTTTTAAAAAATTAATTATTATATTTCCTCATTTTATAATATCTTTATTAATGCATTGAAGTAGTTTTTATTTATTTATTTATAAAATATATATAATTTTTATTTAATCAGTGATAGTCAAAAATGAGTATTATGATTCCTATCTTTATTCTATTTCTATGTTTCTTTGGTGAATTATTCTATTTCTATGTGATGCTAGCTTATAGTTGAATTTTTTTTAATTATTAGTTTTCTTCTATTTCTATAATTTAACTCATTGAAGTAGTTTAAAATAAATAAACAATAGGATATTTTATTTCTAATTAATCACTGATAGTCAAAAATTGATTCACTCAAGTCATTACTGATTAGTGATTATCCAATCATATTTTGGAAATTTAAACTTTCATATTTGACTCATAGTTATAGACTTTCACATATAGAATTAGAATTCGAATCGATAATAGAGATTATCTATCTCTTTATTATGGATTTATGGTAATTTATACTGTTTGTAAAAGAATTTGTTGTTCTAAAATTCACGAATGTAGAGAAAAGCATGTGTCAATGCACGGAAATTGATGAATGAACCTCTGAACTTTCAACCTAACTTTCACTTTCAGCGATAAAGTTGACTTTAGTTTTTCTTTCTTATAAAGGACTTATGTATTTAACCGACCATCTATTTCTTTCCGTTTTATTAGTTTTTTTCTGACAATCTTTGGGGTTTTATTATTACTCCCTCCGTTTGACAAAGAGTGTCGTTTTAAAGTTTTATTTTCGTTTCATAAAGAGTGTCGTTTTGTGTTTTCAATGCAGATTTTTAAATCAAATCTCAGTTTTATCCTTGTTTTTTCAACTTATTAATTAGAGAGAGAAACAATTTTAGTGTATTAATAAAGGGTAAAAAAGAAATTTAAATTTTTTTCTTAATTTGTGTGCAAAATAGTAGAATGACACTCTTTGTGAAACAGAGGGAGTATTATTATTTTTTTTTTTGATAGAAACCGTTTAATTAGTTATTCTTTTCCTTTTTTCCAATATTAGTTATTCGATCTACTGGTTTTAAAAAATTATAACCGCATAATTTAGTGTTTTAAACGGTTTTCATAATAGGTATTAAAAAAAAGTGGTTTCCATAATTAAATTTTGTCTGCATGAAATAGTTTTTTTAATGAAAAATATCAAAATTTTAATTTTGGTTTCAAAATGATGTTGTGACCTTTGATCATTTTAATTATTGTTCGAATTTTTAGAAAATTTATGTGTTATTCGTGCTGCATTTTACTATTATATATATACATATCTATATTGATTGATTTCAAAGTTGAAAAGATGATCTGTTTTTGTTTTTCACGGCAAGATATTTCACGAAGTTCACACTAATTTTTACAATGTGCAAAAATAAAATAAAAACTTGTATTTTTAACATTTAAAGATTGTTCTATAACCAACCATACTTTAAGTCTCATTGGAAAGACCGTACTTATGAATTGGTTCATTTAGTTATTTATTTCTGCAGTTTACAAAGTAAGATAAATACGTACTTTCAGTGGCTATGAAATAATCTCATAATTAATTTGGTCTACCTAAATAATTTTGTAATTAACTAGATGATGCCTTATTATTCTTACTCTTGTGATGTTATCATAACTATATCATTATCATAACTATATCATTTGGTAAGTGACAAAGTCGTACATGTGATGTGATGTCACGTTATGAATATTTTACATTAGTCTTGGTCGACTCCAATTATTCAAAAAGTTGGATCTTTCTTCCTATGTGCTAATGGAATATTCGGATAATTTGAAATGTCATTATCTACCCAAGTCAACAGTCGACAGGCATGAGTGATATAGTCTAATTGTTGGAGTATTAGATACTCACTTTTCTTTAAATGTTGCAAAATTTATTAATTTCAGCGAATAATCATACATTTTTCTTTTCACCAGCACATAAAATTCTTTTGGAATATAATTAGTATATATTGTCATATTGATATATATAGGGTACATATAAAACTAAATTTTATTTCAAAAAACAATAACTAAGAACTAAAAACAAAAATCCAAAATCTAAAACCAACTAAGAAACTGCTGCATGCCATTCAAAGCCTTAATATGAAGTAAAAAAAAAAAAAAGTAAAAGAAAACGGAAACATGAAATAGAAGCTTCGTTTACAGTTGGAAATGCATCATGCATGCACCATGAAACTATAATGTTTGCCGTGTTTGAATTCACATTTTCTAAAATAGAATTATAAATACGGTTACGTACACTCCTTAATTTCATAAACATGTCACTGTTTTTTACTTTCTTCATATGCATGGCTACATGTATCATGTATGATGTATCGCGGCGTCTTATTAAGATGTGATTTAATTAGACTTTTAGTATAATATAATGAATATGATATATAAAGCAACGTAACAAAGCTGCCTAAACTGAATAAAGAGATGATGGTTAGCTGATAATTTGGTTGACGTATAAGATGATAATTAAAGTCCATTATCAGGACGAAGAAGAGTTTGGGAAGCTAACGACAAGTGTGAAAACTTCTTTTGTTCCTTTTAAAAAACTTTTGTTGTTTTGACAGCATCCATTTACACACTTTATTAGTGGGATGCTTCACGGAAGCAATATATATTGCATATGGTTGCATAATGGCTTATGACATATTTCCGACTGACTAAAAGATATATGGTATAGAATAACTATACTTACTAGATTATCGTGATTAATGCCGTTGAAAGATATTTTGAGCAAAAGCTATACTTTTAATCGAAAATTAGTTTATAAAGAACTATATTCTCGTATATATATCTAGTAGTAGTGGTCTATTGGTTTCTACTTAAGGAAAAATCACTATGTAGGTCTAGACCATTTTCCTCAAACTCCATTTGGTTAGTCGAAATGGTGTCATTACCTATTAGAAAATCAGGTCAGTGGACTACTCGATGGCTACACTCACCCTAAAATAATTAATCAGATATGGTAAAACTAAAAGCCCGAATATGTAACCTTTTCTTCTATATATAGATCGTTTTTCTTTTTCTAATGAGGCTTCACGTACGTAATTATTATAGTGTGGCGATGTATAGTTCTAAAATCATTTATAGTTAATAGTAAAGATTAAATAATTCACGTAGTTTAGTATTCACACAATTATATAAGTAACCGCAATATTGTTTACTGCATCTAGCTAGTGATAATAGGATGATTTATGAAGAAAAGATATTGTGATGTATATATTTACAAAGAACTACGGGTTCTAAACTTCTAATTAGTTAAAAGAAATGAACGATTTAATTGTATATTATATCCTAATAAGAAAAATTAAATGATAAATTTGGAAAAGAAAGAGCAACCCTTTACTTATCCTTAAGACCAGCGCGAGTGAATGTATATGTATTCCACACCAGTAATTAATACTAGTAAACTCATTTCTTATATAAACAAGATCCAGAAAAGAACATAAACCGAAAAGAAAATAAAATTATAAAGAAGTACTTAATTGTTAATAAATCTAGTAAGATGGCTACATCGAAAGGATTTGCAGTATGTTTCGCCTTGACGCTTCTCATAACACTCCTGTTATTCGTTGGAGTCAACTCCACTGCTGATCCGTCGAAATGTAGAAATTTTGATCCTATCGGAGGAATCCCTCTAGATTGCAGTTAGAGATGATGAGGAATGTGTGAAGAATGGTGAAACGAATAAAACGACCATGGATGCTATATATATTAGCTAATATATACTACTAACTAGCTAGTGTAAAACCCATGCGGAAATGTTATTGACAAAAATAGCACCAAAAAAAGTTTTTCTTCCAAAATTAGCACAACATTTCTAAAATTCCACAAATAGCACCATAAACTTTAATTAAACTTAATTAAAATATATGATAGAAATAAAAATGAGAGAAAACACTAACCTAATATTAAATTGAATCAAAATTTCTTTTAAATAGTAGAAATATATACCCTAAATTGGAAATAGGGAACCCAAATATAATACCACAAACTAATATTAAAAATGAAAAATCTCTTTTAAATGGTGGAAATATATACCCTAAATTGGAATTAGGGAACCCAAATAGAATACTATAAACTAATATTAAAATGAATCAAAATTTCTTTTAAATGATTGAAATATATACCCTAAATTGAAAATAGAGAACCCAAATATAATATTTAAAATTAATTTCTAATTTATTTTGGTTGAATAGCTTTTATATAAAAATTGTTGTATTATTAAAAAAATAAAATAATGATAATATGTTTAGAACAAAAACTTCATAGTAAGTCAACTAGTGCTATTTTTGGAAATTAATGGAGTGTGTGCTATTATTGTCCATAAAACTTGTTTTAGTGCTATTTTTAGGAATTTCTCTATATAATTTTATAACATTCTAATTTATAAATTACGTAGTCTAGTGGTTTGTGCTCTAGTGCATGCATAATGCATGTTATTAAACAATTTATTTTTATAACAAATAATCAACATACTTTTGAAGATAATAGTATTTTCATCATTTTTATAAAAGTGTATTAAGATTATTAATTATTGCAAAATTATGATATTCTTTAAGAAACAACATTCTTGGTATGTCTCTGCTCCCCTACTTCCAAAAAAACCATTCTCCTCTGATTCCCAAATTCTCTTAAAAAAGGAAAAGAAAAGCATATGAATATTTAAGAGATACATTTTGATTATGGGTTTTCAAATTACAATTTGTTTCTTAAATAATAATAATTATGTGCT